CCTATATTCTTATCTACAGCTTTTTATTCTACACGAAAAAGGAATAAACTTTTGTTCGCAACATTTCTTAATCAGATTTTATTTTACAAGGATATATTTAACAAAAAGAAAAATTCATTTACTTATGAAACTTCTTTGCTTTTTTTAAAGACAGACCATATTCAACATTTCATTCGGTTATAAGTTATTTATAATCTCTTAAGACTCATCCATCCCTTATTTTCCCAAATTAGTCTGTTGTTTGGTGTCAAATTCGCACACTAACAGATAATCAATGTTATGAAAAGGTTACCAGTTAAATTCATAAATCCTTCCTTTGAAAACGAAAACCCAAGATTAAATTGAGTTCAATTAATTGATCAATTAAATAAAATATACTATTCATTTGAAACCAGTGAGAAATGTATCGAATTGACACGAGGATTGGATGGTGGATAAATGAAAAACACTAAACTGAAATGCTCGATAATCATATCCAGTAAATTACGATAAGCGCTCCATACGCAGTATTCAGAAATGAATGACCTTGTCACCATCACCCATGATGTTACTTATGTTGTTGTATGTACAATAATATAATATTTGTGGCATTCGATATTAAACCAACAAAAGATACAATGACAATAATGAATAGTCGCATTTGTTTAAAAGACTAGCTGTTATCTTATACAGCCGTATAAGATACGGGTTATGATTAATCGTGTTTGTTACTATGATTCACGTTCCTCACTTTAGAATTTCCTATTATTCGATCCTTATCGACAGCGAAAAGATAGCCTATCTACAAGTGTCCTATCTATAAGTGTTGCACATGCAATTCAGGCAACTCCGGAAAATGAGAGATTCTTGAGATCATTCGAAGTAACATTTCCCATAGCGAAAATGCAATCCGCGGCTTTGTTTACGAATTATTAACGAAAAACAGTGAGCAATGAGAGGCGAGATCAGTTGGCACGAGGCGGCCGAGCCAATGAGCTCGCATGGCGCCTCACGCCAGCCGAGCTCGCCTCTCATTGGCCACTGTTTTTCCTCAATAACTCGTAAACAAAGCCACGGACTGCATTTTCGCTAAGGAAAAAGTTAATTCGAATAACGTCAGGAGTTCCACTCTTCTCGAAAGTACCATAATTTTGGGATACCCTATAATTACGAATTTAATGCTTTATAATACTTGAAGGGTCATTCCACGCCAAATCGATCACATTTGACACATTGATCAATAGTAGATTAGTAAAATTCATTCTGCCGATATAAATGACACTATTCTGGTGGCTGTGAGCCTTGCCAATTATGTTTTTAGACTTCATTGCAGTAATATGGGTTGACAGTCGTTTAGTTCGGCGACCGTCATAACGGAGCGCTCAGTCCATTTAAGTGCGACTTCAAATTAAGTGTGACTTCAATATGCGTCGTACCATCCTACGGGATACATACATATTTTTTTTTAGAAACGTGACTCCGAACCCGTATTTAAAAAATAAGAATTTGTTTGTAATTTTCAACGTTGTAAAAACAATTTTTCAATCAGATCACAATTTATTTAGAAAGGCGGATCCTTCTCAAGTACAACAAAAAAAGTGCATCTCGATATGACCAATATTTTCCGAGATAAAAATGCCTAAGTACCATCTATTTCCGCAAAAATGTGCAAAAATCGTAAATTTCAAAGGCCTGTGTTTTTCAACAAATGACCCTTAAAATACTTTCATAATCTTTTCTTTAAATCCATGTGTATATATATATAAATAATATATAATATTATATAAATAATATATATATGATGGTTCATATTTATTATATATGTATATATAAAATATCACCAAATAACCCGAACCATCATTTGCAAAAAAACTATTTATTCTGTTGGCATAGAATGTTGAAGATACAAAACTAGTTCCTAACACCAAATAAAATCTCCAAGAATTCTTTTTAAATGCTTCTTGTTTAAAACCACTTTCCATAAGAATCTATCAAAGTGTCAAAGTGATTTTATTATTGTCCAAAACTGTTGTCACTCGTTCCGAAAGAATGATTTGAAAGTTAGTGCATTTTTACGTTACCGTTGAAACCAAGACACCAAAGCAATGATCTTTGACTTCAACTTTGTAGATCTCCGGTGTTTCCGTTGTGTCGAAGCTTTACATTCAATTAGACCGTAAAACTATGCGAATTTTTAAATTTTACATCGTCTTTTATAAGAAAATAATAAAAGCAGAATATGTAGTAACTTTTCTCTCTTCCTCTATACTTTACCATGATTACAGTGATTCTTAAAATCCGTAGTCCGAGTAGTGACCCACCTTAATTCCGATTTATCTGATTACAATTCTATGTAGAAATTTGATTCTGCTATTAGTGTTTGTGCGGTTATAAAAAGATAATATTTCTTATTAATATCACGTATTTGAAGAGTACTTAGGTGTTGGAAGAAGTCGAATCAAAATTTCGTGTTGTGATTTAAAGTAACGCACTCAATTATCTCCTAAACTATAATTCATTTCAAAAAATGTTCCAAATGAAATTACCCTGTTTCGAGGGGAACAACCAATAACGATCGCAAATTTTTTCTCGGTGGACGTGCTTCCGAAATTTCGAGGTGATCTTGGTTTTTGTTCTAATGGAACTGTATATTTTTTTTATATATAACCGGAATGTGCATTTCAAGGTCGATTTATTAATCTAAATGCTTTGGTCTTTGAAGGTCGTTTAAAGTTATTTAATGCTGTTTAAAGTTTACCTTTAATAACGGAGGAAGATGGAACTTTTGGAACGTTTAACGAAGATTTAAACAACATTAAATGACCTTGAACGATCTTCAAACACCAAAGTGTTATGGGTCAAAGAGTTTACCCTGAAATGCACTGCTTACATGAAAGAACGTCCATCGAGAAAATTTTGCCACCATTATAGGATGTCCTCATCGAAACAGGTTAAGGTCCATTTGGAACATTTTTTTTTAAACGAACTATAGTTTAAGAGATAATTTAGTGCGTTATTTCAAATGAGACATCCTGTACATAACATGAAATGAGAACGTATCATCAAATATATCAATATCAAATACATCGAATAATATACGGGGTGGACCACAAAACGTGATCAGCTTAAATTATTTTGTTGCTAGTGGTTCGATTGGAAACTTTCTAAGCTGAAATAATACGGTTTAAGAAGAGTTTTAAGCCGATTGTACCAAACTTTTTGTTAACTCCTTTTCTCCTCAGAGTTGTCAAGGACACCTTCAGTCTTTTGTAGCTTGACCTACAAATTTGTTTGTACCCACCATTTAGGGGATGCTAAGATGAATTCGGCAAGCATAGTAACATATAGTTTTTCAGAATATTCTGCTACAACGCTAAAGCTTCTAACATCAAAAGCTACAATATACCTTATACCGTGACTCACCTTAATAATCCTAACCTGAATCATTCCTTATCTACCGTGATAAACCGGCGCTGTTCTTGCATAGTGCGCATTGCACGGATAACTGACAGTTTCTTGGCATACTTAAGCAGTTGCAGTTTACCTCTAAACCAGGCTTTGGTCAATTCTAATCTACTTTAATATAATCGTCGATTTGTTGATACAGTCGTGGCGCTGGTCGAAATAAGTATCAATATTTCTCACAGTTAGTGATATTCGCAAACATGTAAGTGCCTGTATACTAGGCTCGTCCTTATTTTTTGACTTTCTATTTGTTTTAGTCCCACCCCCGTAAATTGTGAAACTTTGTGAGAAAATGATGTGCGCAAAATTTAAAAGCAGTCAGACCCTTGCCGCATTTGCGTCAATGTTTCAACATTTTAATGATTTCGTATGTCGTCATTTTAGAAATTGTACCGTTAAACGTTTTTATGAATAATGATAAGTTTCATGCGTTACTCCTAAAAATATACAGGATGTTACATTTTTATGGTATATAGAACACTAAAAAAGTCAGCGTCAGAAACGGTTGTCCTATGTTTACTAAGGCTTTTTTACTCTGCACAGTGTGTTTTCTTTTTAACACCCTGTATATTTGGTGTTGCTTGTATATACTTGGTGTTGAATGCAGACGGCTTATAATTTTTGAGATATTTAATGTTAAAGCTGTTAGTTGATGAAATTCTTGTGAGAGACAACTCTCGGAAAACTATTTCACATGTCTGCTTTACCAGGCATCATCCATGTTGGAGGAAAACATCCCTTAAATGTACTTTGTATCCTTAACATTAAGTGCTGTTTTTACCTTCTTAACGTGGATGATGGTCGATAAAAAAAGTAGTAGTCAAGTAGTTTTCCGAGAACTACCTCTCACAATTATTTTTATCAAAATCGATGCGTCCAGATTAGTTGCATTCCCCCTTGCCAAATTCTGCGTCGTATACTGTATTTAATATCAAATCAAATTGAAAGATTTTGTATACATTTTTAGAAGTAAGGCATAAAGCTCGTCGTTTAATGATATTTCTAAAATAAGAAAATTGCAATTATGTTGGAAAATGAAATGATATCATTAAAATCTTGAAACTTTAACACACAAATTCGGCACGGATTCCCGTTCTGCAATTGCTTGCTGCACGCATAATTTCCTCACTAATTTTAACTGTCACAATTTAGAAGGATATGCGCAAAAAGATCTCAACAAAAAATTGTTGCAGCCCTGTGGACAAGGTCCGCTCTATTGGATATTTTTGTAGAATAGTGCACCATCATTCAAAGTGATGCCTCCATAGAACTCCGATTTCTTGTCTAATTTCTAAAGGATCTTTCACCTAGCCTGTACACCACGATAAATAGAGTAATAGCTTGAATGCATCGCTTTCAAAAACCGAAGTTCGAAATTGCTTGCATCGCAACCAAATAACTAGACCCGTTGTCCCGACGGAATTCCCCATAGAATTAGTATGTTCGAGCCTGCACCGCGGTCACTGTGTTTCACTGTGTTCCACTGTCTTTCACTGTCTCGACATTGAAAGCCCCGTTGTCTTTATGCATCCACCATGTAATGCGTTTACTTGCAGGTCGAGGACGGATTCGGTAAGATCGAAGTCCCCTCTGACGGCATCGCCGGCGTCTCCAGGACCATTATCGAATTCCCTCCACGGCAGTTTTCACGGTAGTTTAGGGAGCGATGGCATGTCTTACAGCAGCGCCAGGTCGTCCTCGGCGTCCCCCGACTCCGCAAGATGCTCGTCGACACCGGTAATCATACTAATCATAACGACTAGATATAAGTCGACTGTAAGTTGTTAGCAATATTGCTTTAGAACGCGACACTAGCGGATCAGTTCTCCCAAAAGGAACTGTGCTATATGCTAGATCTACGAAATAAACGTCTATTTCAATGTATAATGTCTCGAACATAAAGAAATAAAGGGTATCAGTCATGAAAGCCCACAAATAAACGGTCAGACTGAGATTTCTCTAATCTCTCGAAGGCAACTCGGAATTTGTTTAGTCTCCGTTCTGTTATTATGCTTTGACAATTTATGTCACAACTTCAACGTTTTCGTGGAAAAACGACTAATTCGTACATTTTAGCGACTAATTCGTTGTCATGAATCCTTCTAGTTAAGGTGGAGAAAAGACATATCATAACGTTGTACTGGTATCAACATTATCATTTCAATTAGAAGCTTCAATTTCTTTTGTACCCTTATGGGTAGATGCGCTAAAATGGCATTAGTATCGGTATACAGGGTGAGTCACAAATTAGTCCCCATGATTTTTCAGCCCCTTCCGATGGTATGACAAAAATGTTTCATATCAAATTTAATTAGCATTTAACCGACAAATGATGATTTTCAATTTAAAAAACAAGGTCACCGTTATATTCTTAAATGAAACTAGATAATTTTAACTTCACAGCATTATAAGCAACGTCGAGACGATGATATTGAAGGAAAAATTACCATGAATCGATTGCCATAATATTTGAGATAATTTGGCGATACATGATACCAAGGCCTCGCATGTAAACATAAACAAATGAACGTAAACATTACAAATGCCCATTTATTACAAGCAGCAGAACTTTTCTCTCGTTGCAGAAGGTGGAATTTAATTTAATTACTAATTATATGCACATTTTTAACATGCATGTTTTCAATTTTGTTTTATATAAATTTTTCTTTTGTTTTATGTGTGTTAAGGTCTGAAATTGAATATGAATTAGTAATGTTTAGGTTCATTTGTCTATGTTTGCATGCGAGGCCTTTACGCCGAATTATTTCAAATATTGTGACAATCGATTCATGGCAATTTTTCCTTTCAATGTCATCTAAAGGTCATCATGTAGCAGATCGTTTCACTTAAAAATATAACGGTCACGTTGTTTTCTTTTATTGAAAATCAATTTGTTTTTAAATACAAGTAGTTACAATTTCTTGTTGGTTAAATACTAATTAACTTTAATAGGAAACATTTTTTTGTCAAACTATCAGAAGGGGCTGAAAAATTATTGAAACTAATTTATGCCTCACCCTGTATGTATAATATGTAATATACATAATACATAATATAACTCACACATAAAATATTTGTCGTACGGAAAGATATTTCATATATAAGTTGCTCGTTTTCTAGGAAGGCTTATAGTATTGTAATCAGTTTTATGTTATTTTGCTTTTTTATAAAGAGATATGAAGGTCACTTTCAATTTCTTAAATGAAATTTGTTATTTATGGTCGTCGTGTTAAAACTCATCCTGTATATTACATCTAGTTCGACTTTGGCTTCCGATATTTTCCCGTTTCGTTGAAATATTAAGAATTCGAATTACGTAATAGCATAATAGGTTTTAAGGAAGTCACATTTTTAACACAGCGGGAGTCGATTCAATTGCGTGATACCATAATTGGTAAAGTAATAAAGAAAATTGTATGGTTAGGATGGAATCTGGTAATATCAAGACGAGAACTTGCTGAGCTGCCAGGAGCGAAGCATCATGAATTTAAGAACACTTCTGAGGAATAAACTTTCTATCTTGAGCTTATTAGAAATAAATTCAACCTCGCAAATTCATCTGAGTGTTTAACAAAACGGAATTACTCGATGATTATAATTATAGTTATAGATAAGTATACATTGAGCATATAATATTACTAGGTTGAAAGTTGCTTTAATTCAATGAATTTAGGAATGCGTAAAAGTAGTAACTGGTCTCGTATGTACTATTGCCTTCTACTTTTGATCCGCTAGATAAAGAAAAAGATATTATGACATATAGATAACATAGAGTATAATGATTAAAGATTCCTGCAGTTCACGCAAACAGTCTTGTTTTCTACATAAAGATACGCAGTCTAATAATTACATTATAAAAAAAACCAACTGAAGAATCTATTATATACAACGATGAAGCTCTGAAAATGATAACATTACACAACATCAATGTTTGCAATTCGATAACACTATCCGACAAAATCAAACTTTTTTTTCCTATTTCCTACAGCCACTATGAAATTCTTATAGAACTTTACTTCCCGAACAAGAATCCGAAAACCGAATTTTGCTTCATCACCCTTAGTTTAAAAAAAAACGAGCTTTTGTAAACACCTAAAATTTTCGACAAATATGAGGTATTGTATGAAAAGTAAAAAAACGTTAGAAAGTTCTAATCGATCTCAAAAGGTAGAGGAGGGTTTTCCGAATATAGTGGCATGTTTCTGGTCCTAAATAACTATAAATTAATGTCAAAGTTTAAAAAAATGTCGGCGTGCGTAGTTTCTCCGCAATATTTTTGTATTTTTGCGAAAAGTTCTTTGCCCAGCACGAAAACTTTACCCAGGATCGGATTCTGTATACATTTCTGAAGAAGACGCGGCCTCCATATGTTGAATCCAGAGCATTCTACGGTTGTCAAAATATGGTTGCCCTGAAAAAAGCTAATTTCATTACGGCGTCTTGTAGTTGTTGACTGCAAAAGAAGCGTTCCCCTAGCTGCCTTTTATTCCTCGCATACTGCAATTAGCATTAAAACGCAATCAGAGATGTTAACGGTATCGCTTTGAAGTGACCCTTGACTCTGAAAATTTATGCATTGGTTATTGTAAGATCATTACAATCTGTCATCAGTCATTACAGAGGAAATAACTTGGAGGAATATTAATTTATATCGAATTAAAAGCAATAGATAATCGGTGACATAGAAAACTAAAAAAAAAAGAACGACCTCGATAATGAATAATCTTTGCGAAGCATCACCACATTTATACCATCATGACTTTTGTGAAATTCCATCAGGCCAGCTCACGAAAGATAATCCACACTTCTTTACAGCTGTGAATCAATAATATACGACGATATGATAAGTAAAATGGTCTCTAAAAGTGCTAGTTAAAAAGAGATAGAACAGGCATAATCAGAACTAAATAATCAGAACAGACATGATCACCCGTTATGCATATCCCTTGCTGGTACGTCGCGTCGCACAATGATCGAGTAATAAAAAAAACACACAAAAATCAGTATTTTTTGTATAACATAATCGTAATCTAGAATCTTTATTCATACATAAACAATTCAAAAAAATAAAGAACAAAATGCATATAGTAAATTCACCCCAATTGTTCCTCAGCTTGAAGATAATCGGCAACTATAAAAACGAGCCATAAGGTTCGTATAATCGTATTCCCTTTTCCCAAGTTGCCCATTTTTGTTTTCAAGCTGAGGGACAATTGGGGAGAATTTACTGTACTTGCCTTTGCTTCCTCAAGTAGTTGCCTGTTATGTTGCGGTGTTTCTAACATCAAGTTATTCAAAATACGCACAGCAATAAATATAAATATGAATGGATTATTCAAATAAAGGTACTAAACACTTGTTATTTTGATCGTGAAATGGTTTAATTACTTATCGTATATTCAGTTTTATTGCCTCGAAGCTACACATCCGTTGAGAAGCTACTATAGTATACATTTGTATAGTATACATTTAGTATACATTTTTATTACATTATTAGTATACATTTTTATAGTATACATTTGATTATCTTTAACCTAACTTTTCCCGAAAAAGGGAAAAATATGTTTTGGAATTCTTACGAAAAACTATTCGTTGTACAGATCTCGACATTATTATACAAAATTTTCTTAAAGTAGCCTGCATTTTGAATTACAATCATGCTTTTTAGAAGCGCGTCCGAGAAAAAATCGGGACATTCTTGAGAAATGGGTTTCTTCGTCACCCAATGACAATTCGTTTAATTCAGAACACATTCCATTTAAAGGATTGCACAGAGAAAGTTTGTAGAAAAATTTTGTAACCATCTATATGTGTGGATATTAACAATAGATTAAAGCACATTCGAAAAGCTTCCAGACTGACTACTTGTCAATATCTTATGAACAATATGAACAAAATAATTTACATACATTAATAATTAACATACATTGAATATAATAATTTACATGCATTGACATATTTGTTGTTTGTTTATGTGTGTATGTGTTATGTTACAATATGTGTTATCTGTTTATAATGTTGATATATGTATTATGTTGGAATTTTTATTACATTATATTATATTTATTTGTATACGCATAATGTGTTTATATTACATAACAGATTTTTATCTATCGTGTCTATACTTAACATACTGACAACTTATTCTTCTGACACCTTTTATTCTTAATAAAAATATTAAATGCTGATAAAAGATTTTTTTATTCAACAAAAAAACAAAACCATTGTAATTTTTTTAACATAACCGTATATTATTTAAATACAAATCGATTCATCTTTGTATTCCCATCAAAAAATTATTAACGTACTTAGATTGAAAATTAATTAGTTTAGAAGCTATGATTTTTTGTTTCATATGCTCGTAAGATCACGACAATGTGCATCGTCGTGTTTGAAAGCAAACTGGAGAATCGGCGGCGGGAGCTCACGCACACCGTGCCACGTTATGCATGCATAGACAAAATTCAATGTAGTGATAGCAACAGTTTTTCTTTAATATCTCGAAAACTAAGGCCGAGCGGCTCTAAATGAAAAAGGAAAAAGTTGTTCAGAATATTGCCGTTTACAACATATTTCAACGAGGTGGTGTAGGCTTTCGACAATTTAACCAACAATTTTGCAAATTAATTAACATGTAAGAAATGTTCTCCCAAATATCTCGTGACTTCTTAATACATAGATCAAAGTTTAGATAGATATTCATCATTCGCCCCCCCCCCCCCCCCCC